CTGTCCTGGGCACTTGCTGAATAGAGCCTTGTTCTCCATCGCTGGTGAGGGCGCCACATAGCGAGGGCAGCCCCCAGGGGGCTGTGACGCTTTTATCCCAAGAGGCCAGGCTGTCAGGCTGGGGTGCAACGCAAGCCCCCTGTTCAATGGACTTCTCGGAAAGCGTCCGAGGGGGTGCTGGGGTACAGTGGGAAGCAGGCTGTGTGCCTACCCCTGGCCATTGTGTTTGTGCCAAGGTGAGTCATCTAGTGGGCACGAGGAGAAGGCCCTGGGGGTGGCCAGCCCAGCGCTGCCAGGTCTCCAGCTTGCAGACAAGGCCTGGCTGCTTGCCCTCTCCCCAGCTCTCAGAGCTGGCTCAGGCCCCTGAGCTCATCAGAGCAACACCCCTCCTCCCCACCAGGGGATATGTTCTTCCTTTGGGCATGTCATGGGCTGCCCGCTGAGGTTTCCCCTGTGAGTCCCAGCGTAGAGAGGCGGGTGAGAGCCCCTTAGGCTCTAGTCACATCTGAGCCTAGGTCTGAGCAGTGACAAGTGCAGAGGGGAGCCTGGAGGAGGGGTGTCCAGTGACCGTTGACCTGCTGCAGGTTGGGGAGCTGGGGAAGGACAGGAACTTTAAAGGAAGAGCAAGACTAGGGATGAGTCCTTGTCCCAGCTCTCGTCTCCATGGCTAGGAGTGGCTCACCCCTCCATGTTGCCCAGCAAGTCAAAGTGTGCAGTCTTCCCTTTTAGTTCAAGTAAAATCTAGTTGAAATGAGGGCAAAGCTGTCCTGGAGAGAAAAGTTGTAACCAGAGCAGGACGGGCTTGTCAGCGAAGCTCAGTGAATTGTACCTGTATGTGTGAGACACGAGTTTGCTTCAGCACCAGTGGATGGGATCTCCCAGCCTTCACCCCCTCAGCTACCTCCCTGGGCCCCTGTCACAAGCCCAGGCTCCTTCCTCAACCTCTACCCGATCCTCAGACCCATCCCCACATTTAGCCCTTAACTATCTAAAGGTGTCTGCACAGAGAACCAAAGAGGCAAGACAGACTTGGTTGTGGTGGTTTTCCAAACTTTTATTATT